GGTAAAAGTTAAATTTGATCTTCGATTCTCTACAATTCATCGGATTAAGTTTGATTTTGGTTTTTATTTTGATAAGACCCTTAAATTTTAATTAATTGAAGCTTTTCTTTTCAATTTATTCCAATTATGCCTTTTTTTTTAATTTGTTAGCACCCAAATGTTTTCTAAAAAATCCAAAAAAATAAAAGAAGAGAAAAGGGATTAAAAAAATATAATTAGGGATGTAATTAAAAAAGGGATGAGAAAAAGATCAAAATAAAATGGGTTTGTGAGATGAGGGGATCAAACCAAATTTTATCTAAAAAACCCTAAAAAATCCAAGTATAAAAACCCCTCTTTCTCCAACAATTTTAGCTATTTTCTCTCTTCTAATACCAACAGATCACTTCACCCATTAAATCGAATTTCTTCTAGCCACCCTCCCTCCTAGAACTCGCTGTCCGAGCTCTCTCTCCCTCTCTATAAACTCCGATCGATTGTCTTTCTCCCCATCGATCATAAACTACTCCTTCAAGTTGATCTTTAGTAGTCCACGTTGATCTACGAGCATGTTCCAATCATTCAATCTGTTTTCTTAAGCCACTACCATCGTCGACCCGGCCTTCTAGCCTTTCAACCACTCTGTTCGACGGTCCTCCAGCCACCGATCGGTGTCACTCGATACCACATCGAAGCTACCGCCCGATCCAACGAACTTCGTCCAAATGCCCGTTCCCTTCCAGTCGACCATCACTCGCATGCCCTCCACTAGTCGCCGCCCGGACGCACGATCCCTTTTGGCTAGTAGCCCGATCCAATCGGAATCGGCTTTAACCCGACCCAACAATCGATTGTTACAACCCCTCCAGTCCGATCAGATTTTGACAACTCGATCCGATCATCGACAACTTGTTTTATCCTTGTATCGAGTCTAGATCTATAATGAGCGATCGTCGCTTCTTTCCGATTGACTAAACATGAGTATCTATCGGGGTTAAAAGTGTTGAAAGCTGTCCCCAATTTGGCAATAAAAAATATTCTATTGTTTACGGTAATTTACCTTTTCCTTTTATTTTATCTTATTTTTATATGTATTAAATTTAATTTGTGCTTGATGTGTCCGTAATTAATTAAATTGTAATATGTCTATAAATTAATTATATTATTGGTGTGCTTATATGGTTTAGTTGATGTGATTGTTATGCTGGAAATATTTTTTGTTGCTTGCGCAATGGTCTTGCGTTAGCTCGAATCATGTTTTTAGCCTATTTTTGTTAACAATAATTTTAATTTGCTCACGTGTTAATTTCATCTAAAAATATCATTTTGGATCATACCAGTTCGAACTTCATTGTTTGAGTCATTTTTGTCGAATATCAATTAATTTTCACATTATCGCCAATTCATTAAAAAATGATTCTTGAGCGACCTTGACTCAAATTTCGTTTTAAAGTCATTTTAGCTCATTGCAACGGTTACTCAATATTGTGCTAATTTATCTTAAGAAAAAATATGATTTTTGAGCCACGTGGATCCAAGTCTTGTTTTAGATTGTTGTCGCACATTATGAGAATTAATTTGTTGTCATGTTGATTTTCTCTAAAAATCACAATATTTGAGGTCATGTCCATTCGAGTCTTGTTTTCGATTCATTTTCGTCAATTTCAATAATTCTTTCGTTTTTTCCCGAAAATCATAATTTTTGAAGTCCCGTTGATCTTAATCTTGTTTTCAAATTATTTTCATCAACTTTAATGATTTTTTCATAATTGTCGATTTTTGCTCATTTTTGCCTAATTGTTGATTTTTGTCGATTTTTGCCCAATTTGCCTATTTTGTCGATTTTGCATCTTTGCCTATTTTGCCTAATTGCTTTGCCTATTTGTCGATTTTGCCAATCTTACCAATTTGCCTATTTTGCATAATTACCTATTTTTTCTATTTTTTCTAATTGCCCATTTGTCGATTTTTCGATTTTGCAAATTTATCGATTTTTGCCGATTTTGCTAATTTTGCCTTATTGCCAATTTTTCCTATTTGCCCACTTTGTCGATTCTGCCCATTTTACTGGTTTTGATAATTTTTCAATTTTTTTCGATTTTGTCAATTTTTTTCTAATTGTTGATTTTTTTTTTGTTTGCCTATTTGCTTGTTTGTGCCAATTTTGCCTACTTGTCGATTTTTCCGTATTGTCGATTTGTCTATTTGCCCATTTGCCCATTTTTAAGTTTTTATTTTCATGCATGCCATCTAAGCCTCATTAGCGAGCATATCTTTGCATTCATCTTTTTTAGCTATTCATTACGGAGTGAGGACAAGGTCTCCGATTGACCAAGTCCCAAATCACTCGACCGAGTGGACAAATGCTTAAAAAATAGGTATAGTCTTTCATCATTAAAAAATCGAAATCAAGTCAATTTTGTATGCAATGCAGCATGCCTTAGGCGGGATGCGATAGAGTGATTTTTAATCTTCCCTACATGTAATAAACCCTTTATCCAAAACTGCGAACGGATCGGTAATAAGATTTCATAGTAACCATAATACTAGTAGCAACTCTAGTTATTTTTATCCATTTTTCCTATTTTCGTCTCAAATTCGTCGCCCTGCGACGTAATAAAGCTCTCAATTGCTCTTTTGTTTTATTTCCAAACTTTTTTTTTTTAAATTAGCTCCCTCCTAAAACTAATCTAAGCTAATTATTCTAATTGTTTTTTCTTTTTTCTTTTTTCTTTTTTTGCATTTTTTTGCTTATCATTTTTGGTATTTTGCAATAAAATAAGAATAATAAAGGCAAAAATTAGGTGCTAACAAATAATATTGACAAAAAATAAAGATATTTGTGACTAGATATGGATTAGTCATCTATTAAGAGTGACAAAATTTTTTTTATTTTTTACTTCATCTACGAGATTATTTACGGTAGGTTCAAAAATATAATTATTCACATCAATAACCTTTCGATGTTTTAGTTGAAGCTTATAAAGGGTAATTTATACAAAAATAAGGTTGCAGAGTGTTTTTGCCACCCAATTATATAGTGTTTTTCGTAATTTCATTCAAAACTAGTAATCCTAGAATAGGTAAATACCCATTCCATCAGCTAACAAGGTAGGAGATAGAGTTGATATATAGTGTCATCATCCAGGAAAACAAGGATGAGAATTTGGAATATCACGACTTCTTTCAAATCAAATTGAACATGTAATCATTGACATCCAATATCAATGGCTAACTTGATTGCTAGACGAATGCATCGCAGAAGAACATGAGAATTTGCATATTCAAGAACTTCATAATTAACCAAAAAAAAAAAAAAAAACCGTATCCACGTCACAAGGACTGTATTTGTAGGTTCATGCACCAATTTGTACATACCCCAATTGTTTCACTTTTTTTTTTTTTTTTTTTTTTGGTTATTTGAAACGGAAGTCTGTCAAGTTTGAGTTATCAATGCCATGTATGTGGTGACATGCTACTGTTAAGCGTTTGATGAATCATAGATTTAAGATTTTATCTATTCTATTTATCCAAAAGTAAAAGTTGAATTTGTTTTTATAACCAATTTATTCAATTTTCTCGAGTTTCAACGGGGTCAGTTCAGTATTAAATGGAGACTAATCTTTTTTACTGATTATGAAACTATAATTTTTTTTAAAAAAATTAAATAATTGACAAAGCTAACTTTTGGATTCATTACGGTAAAAGCTAGTCAATGGATTTCATTTCATAAATAGTTAAAACAAAAAAATCAAAATAATTGACAAACAAAATATATATATATATATATATATATATATATAGTTGTTGATTATATATATATATATATATATATATATATATATATATATATATATATATATATATATATATATAATCAACAACTACGATCAATAATTGCACAAGAACCATAAAGATTTAATTGGTTAGACAACTTTGACATACTTCACGGAAAAATCAACTATAAAAATCATGGATTGCAATAAATTCTTCAAAATTTTTCTCTCAACTCAAAGTCTCAGATAACCCAAACTCACTTTCTATTACTTTTTAAAAGAGGCATATTTTTTCAAATATAGTAAATTATTCTCTAGTCCTTGATTTTTTAACAGATATAAAACCAAGTACTTCGAGTTTGAAACCAATAATTTAGTCTTAATTAGATTCTTGTTGATCATTCTTTTACTAAAACATATGTTGGTTTTTTCTTAATCCCAAATGTATCATTTGATAATTTAAATTCTCATTAAAAAAAAAATCAATGAGAGTTAATTGAGGATGTGTTTTTTTAAATTCAATTACAAATCTTTAATTTTCAGTTTGAACGTAGCGAATGAATACTTATAAAGAAAATTATTAAAAGTATCTAAAATGTGATTTTAAATTCAGTAATTTTTATTTGAAAAAAGCAAGAACTTGGAGAATGCTTGTGATTTAATTTCATAAAACAAAATCCTTTTTATTTTTTTATTGAAATTATTTTAATATATATATAGTCTTAGAATTTATAAAGTAAATACGCTCAATATAATAACAATCCACCAAACCCCAGGCAATTCTCCTTAATTCATCGTGAGCTAGCCATCCAAATAAGTGGAGGAAAGCACAACACAATAAAAGCTGAAAAGGCAAGGAAAACCATTTTAGCTGGATGATCATCGAACTGAAAAAAAAAAGAAAAAAAAGGGCAAATAAAAGAAGCCTTCACAAACCAACAACCAATACATCACCCATTGAAGCGGAAAGGAAAAAAATGACATATAATTTGTAAAACTATTCTTAAAATGGAAAAGGAAAAAAAAGGGGTAAAAAACTGGTTTCTGCATCGTCTAGGATTTATTTCCTATATTTTTTAACAGTACTTTTGTCTATGGATGCCCAATATGCAAGTACACACAGTTAACTCGCCAAGGTAAAAATAAGCAAGCTAGCCAGGTACCGTGATCTAAATTGGACGCCCTCTTTAACTCTGATATTCTATAGATTTATATATCTTAAATTAAAACACAGCTAGCTCCCAATTAATTACTTGAATTGGAAGTGCTATTTTTCCATTCAGCTAGCTTCTTCAAGAAGGACATGACCTCGTCCGTATCATTCACAGAGTACAAAGCCTTGGTCTCCTTTGGGATGGAAGAAACAATGATAGGATAACCTCGACCAATATCCTTTATAGCCTACGTACCAGAATTAACATGAAAAAAAAAAAGTAACACAATCAATCCACTATCTTAGTGTTTTTTTTCACCAAGAGATGGGAATTGGATCAGATAAAGTTAAACTTTACTTGAAATTTAAAGATTAACTAAATACAGACGTTAGATAAGATCGACTATTTCTCAGAAAATCATATCCTCAGAACCTATGCAAAATCGTTTTAGCAACAATTTATATATTCTTGTTAGTATTTCAAGCACTAATTTTTTTAAAAAAAGTGAAAACCATTTTTGTGCCTTGTGTACCATTTATAAGTTGAATGTCTAGCAGTTGGCACCAAACAAAAATTTTTGGTGTAAGAAATAATTGAATACAGAAAAGTAATTAATGTAAAACTTTGTTGTTTATAGCAGAGTAATCAAAAAATAACTTATAAACTACGGTGATATGTACATATATTGTACTATCTAGATTTCTAGAATTTACCTGAAAGGCATCTTCGTCTGTTTTATCATCTCCTATGTACAATGGGAGTAAATCATCAGAGTCATTAAAACCAAGATATTCAATTAGATACTGCAAAGCACGACCTTTGTCCCAATCGATACGAGGACGTATCTCCATAACCTATTCAAATCAAATTGTTAGAAAGTTAACTTAAAAACTCCATATATATATATATATATATATATATATGTGTATGTATATGTAAAAGTCGAGAATGAATATCATAAACAAAAGAGAATCATGAATTACAACCATATAACAGAAACAGACTTGATCAAGACAAAAAATCAAATTAACAATGCTTTAAAGACTCCATATATATATATAAAGGAAAATATTGTATTCTTAAGGACACGGTTGGTCATGCATCATTACTATTTCCAAGTACAATCATAGTGATCACGGTACCATGCGATATTAATTTTATTTATTTATTTTTAAAAAATATAAAGAAAAGAAAACGACTAGATAATAATCAAAACAATTTCTATCCTATCAGCATCATGGAGAGATTAAAAAAAAAAAAACAAGGTATATTAACTAACTATACCTTTTTGCCTTTCGTGATGCGAAATTCCGGGTACCCTTGGACAATCGACTCCACCATCTCTTTAAGAATGCCAACCTCCTACATTTCATATCACTTATCAACGCATTACCACTTTAAAATAAAAATGGAACTTCTCGCAAAATCATGAATATGCTAAAAAAAAACAAGATGCAAAGTAAGCTATAACACCAAATTGTTATTAGAAATTATGTACTGTATCATTGATTACCTCTATGTTAACCCTTCGAAAATGCACGGAGAGGCAAAACTTATTGTCTTCAACCTTGGCACCGTCAATGGTCTTAATCTTTTCTTCCAAAACCTTTGAAAGCTTTTGGAAAATAGATGGTATATGGAAAATATAATAAGAAGATCAACAATTAAAGATAACATAGAAATTAATATTTGGAAAGGGATCAGTAAAATATCTAAAGAGACAATTAGGCAACCTCGAAGTTGACTTGTGACCTTACTTAGAGACAATTTATTACCTCTTGGATTTTGGGCAGGAAATCCTTTGCTGGTTGAAAGTAAATAACATCTTTGCCCTGAAAAAATTAAAACCATCCATTAATTAACACACATAGACACCCGTGAATATGTGCATATGTGGTTAGCATTATACTTTTACCTCAGTTGTTCTGAATCGAACACAAACAAATTCAACCCTGATAAAAACCAATTTTACGAAGAACGAGAAAAAAATTCCGATTTTTATATCCTTAAAAAAGTATCTTACATCTGTAAAGAAATTTTTTAGCAAAACCTCTTCCTGAGATCAATCCGCATACCAATAACATGTAACAAGTGACCAAAAAAATTTTTAAATGCACCACATGCAACAAGCTAAGTGACCAAATAGACTACAGAAAGCAAACACGTAGAAATTGAGGAAATTAACCTCTTCATCAACAGCTTTATTTTGATGCTTCGGGTCGTACTTCAAAGAACCTGTTGGGGTTAATATATCCATTCCATGACTTCCAGCATAGGTGACATTCTGTATTTGTACAAATTCCTTCACCTAGAAAAAGAAGTCGAGATAGGAAATTAAATGCATAAAATTTTAGGCCCCGCTGTATTAGCTCCAAAATTAAGTAACGTTTTACCAATTAATTAATCCAACTTTTTTTTTTTTTGTGTCTCTGTTATTCACCTTATCAAGGCTCCTCCCGCTAACTATTGCAGTTGGGAAGACATTAGCAACCTCTTGCACCGCTGAACGCATCTACAATTCGTAACATTCTCCATTGATTATATATTATTCAGAATGATCACTCGTATGTGTACTCTTAACGTTTTGTCGTACACCAAATTTACCTTCTCAGACATGAAAGCTTGATCAGGATCGTTTACTATTGGTGAGAGAGTTCCATCATAATCCAAAAATACAACCAAGCTTTTTCCTTCTGCCAATATCATCATCCCTTCAAATGCATCCAAGGCCGAAGGATGCTTCGTCTGTTAACAATCAAAAAACATGATATATATATATATAAGTAACCTTTTCATGACTCGTAAATCTGCCAAAATAAATTGCAAATTAAAAGACATGCAAATTGTTAAGTTTTTAATGTGAAGATCTAGATTAAATACCAGCCATGCACTATAGGAATCCATAACAGCTTCTCGTTTCTCGTCAAACCCTTTCGAAATGTTTCCCAAACTCGGAGGCTCCGATGATGATGATTGATGCCCCATCGTCGACTTTTCAATAATTTTAGTAGCTTCTGCAACAAACGATTTTCTTGTACAGTCAAACAACTAATGGTTATATTGTCAAGGATAGCACGAACAAATATAGAGAATATTATAGGAAATAGAAAAGAAACAACCACACAATACAAAAATTGTTATGAACAAAGAAAATGCACATGTTCATAGAGAATATATCTTAATCCTAATAGGCAATAATGGATTGCTAACCCTATAGGGTTTCTATTTCTAGACAAATCTAATCCTAAACCCATAAGGTTTCCTTTGTTCTTCATATATATATATATATATATATATATATATATAGACAATTAGGATTTGTGGAATTCATGTCACCTTTCAACATATACTTTTCTAAATTATTGAGAATTATGATTTATTGTTCTATAAGATTGGGTTCAAATAACAATCAAATCCAAAAGAGTTCTATTCTCAGAATATGGCATGATTCAAAATCGATCGAGAATTAGGGGGTGTGTCAAGAGGATCAACTTCATGCAATCATGAACATGTCAAGGTTTCCATTGTCAAGTTTGGGACTTGAAGATTAAAATAGCCTATTGCCCTTGCATAAAAAAACCATGCATGGCTGGGAAGTGAGGAGCTGTGTGGTCATGATCAGACAAGAAAGTGACACTAGCTAGACAGTTAAAGGTAGTTGCATTGGTTGACTGTTAACCAAATCATGCAAAATAAATTGACTAAGGCTTGCAGATAGGCTCCTAATTAAAGGTTCCAAATCCGTTCGACGGTGGAACTTGACCACTTATTTTTTGTTACAGTTTAAGAAATGACCTCAACATCTCCATCCATTCATTCGAAAAGGAATTTTCTTATCTAAAAGCTCACAAGTCGCATCTAAAACTCATTTTATAAGAAAGTTTGGGAATTGCTTAAGGAGCAGGATATATATTCAATAAGACAGATTGAACAAAGCATGCATTATATTCCATCAAAACCTATTTTGAGTGAATATATCACCACAATTGTTAATAGGGGAAGATGGACTACAATACATGAAAAAATTTCAGAAGCAATCAACGAGAAATAAACCTAGCTTCCCTTGCAAAGCAACTAAAAATGTACACGACTCAAATTCTTTTTGTTGATCCATTGAAAGGCCTAATCATAATGGATCTTAAGCTATGTAACAAGCCGGACATTCCTTCCCTATCCTTAAATCCTCACCTCACCTCTCCCAATGTTTATGAATCCGAGACCTCCAAAATAAAAATATCAAATCTTAACATTTGTCGAATTCAACCATCTTATTGTTGCTACTTTGAGGAATAAAGAAAAAACAACTGCAAAGATTGTTTATGTTATCACTTAAAAGAACAGGGATTGCTATATTTATGTATCCTTTTGATTTCTCCAACATGGTTCAATTGTTCAAGAAATTAGCTAGGGGGACTCAGGAAATTAAGCATGCAGTTTTATCAAATACATGTAATTTCGATGCACAATGTTAAAGTAAGCAATAAAGACCTACACGCGTCCTCATATTATTGCCAAGTCTGGAGTCTTAATCAGTAGGATCACAAGGTCTCTATGGAAGATATCCAAACAGTTAACATTTGGAATTTTTAGTTGCACTACAAATTCTCATATTCGTATGGGTTTAGAAAGTTATACCGATTGCCAACAACCCTGTATAACGACCATAATACTCTTAATATTGTTAATGAAATTTAAAACTATTTAATAGACAATCAAAATGTTAGCATAATTAATCAACTCATGATCATACACGAAGTTGCCTCTCACTTTGGACAAGGTGACAGGACGAATAATAAGTAAACTTTATAATATTGATTTCTATTAGATCCAGAGAGAATTCTCAATTGAATCTTTACCGTATTCACCATTCTCAATTGTGCTTTTTTGAAAAAGAAAGACAACGTACGACATGGCATATTTTTAGTACAAAGAAAAATGAAATTCAGATGGAACTTATTGATAGACATGGATGAAGAGGTATAATTGAAAATGATAGAAACTTTACACACTCAATTGAAACTTTTTTCTTAATACTTAATTGAGATGTGAGGCATAGTTAGGGGACTAATTGCCCAATGTAAAATTATTAGTACTTTCCTTGTCACTTGTGCGTCCTGACGCAAGAGCACTGGTGCTCCATCTATATGCATGACGTATGGCCCCTGCACTTTAGCTAAAATCACCTGTGGAATTCCTTTGTGTACCATGAGAGACTGACACTGACCTAAACTCTTTACAAAATTTTTAACACGGATGTGGTACAGATATAAATCTGAAATTAGAACCTAAAAAATACAACACTCAATATACAAAAATAAAATGTTCATCAATATACAAAATAAAATGTTCATCAACTTTTTCTCTTTTTTCTTTTTATCGTAAAATGAATCATTTCAGTGTGTAAATTAATTTTTTATCCTTCCTGTTCTCTTTCATGTGTAAATTGATGAGGCATAAAACTATTTTTTAAAATAAAAAGAAAACAAATAGAAATATATGATTATTATAAATATAAAACAATAGCGCTTCACCTTTCGTTTTTTAATGATGGGACCTAGCCTCTAAGATGTGGGTACCCATGTGACAATGTTCCAAACAATCATGGATCAAATAAGAATTGCATTTAAGCTTAAGATGTTACTAAAAAAATATGACTTGTCTAATTGTGTAACACCAATATGTTTTGGGTATATATATATATATATATATATATCTCTTTTTATATAATATTTTTAAAAATTTATTATTATTTAGATTTTCAATTGCATCGCATATGTTTTTTTAAAAAAATTGAAATGTTTAATTTATTTTTTATCATAGATATATATTTTTATTAAAATATTATTTTCTGAAATGCCAAAAAAAAAAACTTAAAGTCTCGTGACCTGCATATTCTATTTTTAAAGTTTTTATTTATTTATTTTATATTTTAATTAGGAGCATTTAAATCAAAAAAAAAATTACATAGTCTGAAAAATTAATCGTAATGACTAATTGAATATTTTAAAAATAAATTAGATGTTATTAGAAATCTAGAAATATATGAAAGAATTTGAGTTTTATATACGAACAAATGTGTCTATCTTACCCATAATTTTTTGGTAATTTCACTAATTTAGATTATTAATCATTTCATATAATATCCATTTAAAATTAGCCATACGGATAAATTGATATATTCACATTAAAATCTATCAGGTTTTTATTTTTATTTTGATTCTTTTTTTTAATCAGTTAAATTATATTTATTTTAATGTGACTAGAATTTTTTTCCTATCTAAAACCCATCATTTTTTTATTATTACACATATATCTCTCTGCTTTTACATATCTTTTTCGGTAAAAGAAAAAAAGTATCATAGACCCAACTCCAACCCACTAAAAAACGTAGTGAAAAATATCAATCCTGTAGCAAATCTAACAAAACATGAAAAGACCCATGAGATCCCTTCAATTCTTTGGAGATCTCTTCCCAAATATAGTTAGTAGTCATTCACATGATAGACAATGTTTGGTGAGCCCTTGTTTCATTCTATTGTGTTGGTCTTAAAATCTCAATCAAATAAACAAAATCATTGCATGTTTGTCAAAAGAAATCAAACGTATACAAAGACACAAAAAATAAAAAAAATAAAAAATGACAAGATGGCTAGCCAGCTCCTTTGAGTTCTCAAAGTGTGGCAGAAGAGTTAAGAGTCCTTATTAATAAGCAACTAGCCTTGATTGTATAACCATATCACATTGAAAAAAAGAAGAAGAAGAAGAAGAAGAAAAAAAAAGCAAAAGATTGTTTTTCTTTAATATTTTAGAATAGATTTGATATATAAATACAACATGCACTGAATTAAAAATTACTAGTATTTCATGGATTAAAGATATTAGAGGTGGGAAAGAGAAAATACTAATAACAAGTACATAAAAAGATATGAGAGAAATATGATTACAAGAAACCGTACCTTGATGAAGTTGATGGAAGCAAATGCGATTAAAAGAAAGATCTAAAGAGAGAGATGATTGTTTTTTTTTTTTTCCCCCAAAGAAGAGAGAAAGTGAGTTTAAGAAATGAGAGTAAGTATTATTTATAGATGCAAAGAGGCAGTCTTGATGTGGTCACAGAATACTCGCTGTTAATGGAAAAAGTTCTATTTATGGAATATAGGTTAGGAAACTACTTACTTTTGCAATATAGTTTTTTTTTTTAATGGACGAGAATAACCATTATTTATTTATATATTTTCACTTTAGCTTAATTTAAATTTAAAATGCAATAAATAACTCCCTCGTATTAAATTAGTCAAAGATGCAACAACTTATTGTTTGTAATGGTATAAAACTTTTACAATATAAAAATTTCATTAGAATGTTATGATGAGAACGGGTTTGGCTTTATAACTATGTAAAGTGTCCATTGTACATGTTTTATTTTGCTTGATGTATCATGTATGCATATATAAAAGAGTTTAAGAATTTTATATTTTTGTATTATCATATTTTTAAAAGATTGTTAAGTTGCAAGACCCATTTTTTTTTATTATTATTATACATATTAGGTTTGACTAATATTTGAATATTTTTGTTCATATATATATATATATATAGTTATAAAATTCTAACTACATTTAACTTTCAATCATATATTTTTGTCGTATTACGATCGATAAAAACGAATTTTCTTTAAAGACTATCCCGATATGTCATATTACCATCGATAAAAATGAATCTATATATTTTGAAAATTGGGCTTATAAAAGTTTATAAATCAAGAGAATGTTTATGACAACTAGTCATAAAACTCTAACTACTTTCGAATTCCATTGATGCTTTTTGGTTATCTTACGATATCGATGGAAATAAATCTACTTTCAATAATGTTCAAACAAAAGTTTGTAAATAAAAAAATATTACTTCCCTGGCCTCCTAATGATAAATCACTTATTTCTTCTTAAATACAATTAAAAAAAACCTCTTCACATTAAGTTAAAAAA